AGTTAAAATTATGTGAGTGGATAAATAGTGAATTAAAGTTGATGTGATGTGTAAGAATGATTAGTTGAATGATTGGTTAATATTATTTAATTATATTGATAATATTTGAGATAGTGAGTTGGGTTAAAGTTGAGTTAAATTTGAGTTTTGATTAGGTTTTTTTTTTTTTTTTGGATGAATTAATAAACAATCACACCCTTACATACGGATTTATGCTAATCATTACCCCAAAAATTCTAGCACCTTTATTTATGCATTATCCCGCAACAACTTTATTCCCTGTTGCTCGAGTTTGGTTAGATCATCCCAAGACCCAAGCTCAATATGTTTTTCCCGGGCTATTTGTAGCTTGAACATTATCAAGTCATCGTAGAATATTAGCTCGAGTTATGTGCCTATGACCTTCTTTAGCTCGACCATGGTCATGTCATCTTAGGAAGGTAGCTCGGGTTATATGTCCCACGATCCAATTGGCTTTTACTCCAAATAAGAAATTCAAAAGCTATTATAGGTCATTAGGTACCATATATGAGCTTCTCTGGTTATCGGTTTTGCTATGGAGACATCCATAGTTATTCAAGACTGGTGTATTGAAACATATCCTGCATTAAAGAGACATTAGACACATTTCAGTCCATAAATTTATGAATGACTCCATAAGAAAGCTATCCGATTGATTCCATAGAATTTCCAGTCAAGTTATATCTTGTTTTTCGGTTTGCACATTCTTAAAAACCACAGGAACCCTCGTACATATAAGACTGACTAATTATATCCAAAGGTGAAATCTTGTAGTAAAATGAAAAATATGTCTTCTTTCAGAAGTCTTGTTGAATTATTGCGAGGAGATGATATTATGCCTGCACATAAGCTAAATATGTCTGCCATTCATAGTTTCAAGCCAAAAGTGACAACTTTTTTCCTATAAAGATGAGCATAATATCTTGCCAATGCCAAAATTTTAAGAACAATTATTAAAATTGAGCTATCACTCCTTTTTTATTCATTGATTGTAAACAAAATCTATATCTATATATATAATTGCGCTAACAGTATTTAATAAAGCATTTAATAAAATTTTATTTCGATTTTCCTCCAAAAATCGTTACAAACTTTATCATTTATATATCTCTCTCTATAATTAATTACTAATAATAAATTTAATAATATTGATTATTGTTTACCATCTTTTTATTTACAGTCTTCTATTATTATTATTATTATTATTATTATTATTCCGTTACACCTTAGTATATATATATATATATATATATATATTTGTATTATTTATTTTTTAGATCAGTTACTAAATTAATTCTAAATTTTGTAGCAAAATATTGAAATGTGTAACGGCTAATGTTTGGAACTTAAAGTTGATTGACACATTCAGAGTTGTAACCGTTATATTTGGTTGCAAGCTGATTGACACATTCAGAGCTGTAACCGTTATATTTGGTTGCATTGTTGACACATATTTTTTTTTTAAAATTCAGAAACACCAATAATTTTTTTTATGTTAATTTTCTTAATATATGCCACAAATATATAAATTATTTTAAACGTTGCATGGTTAAAATAAAATTTAAATCTCAATCATTTTGAATGATAAAAATAATTTAAGAAAAAGTAATAATTTTATATGATAGAAGTACATGTCTAATTAATTAATCCAAACAAAAAATATGTTTTATATCTGTGCAAATGCACATGATCAAATACTTGTAAATTTAATAGGCAAAGTATAAAAAAACACATAATTTATATATTTGAAGTGTCAAAAATATAAATTTGAGTGCAGAAAGTTGTATATATTGTGGGTTAAAGTATACTTATATAATAGAATAAGCGAGACTAGTCATAAAAGTTAGACAACTATACTCTTCAACAAATATACATAATTTCAAATTAAAAAGACATATTCTAAAATATATAACAAAAATAAAATTATGGCATTTCATAATATTTTTGTTTCCTAAATATAACAATTTGGAGAAATGCTATGGTCCCGTTATGGAACCATTTCGTCGAGATTTGTAACCGTTAATCATCAACTAACCGTCGATGATAGTTGATCTAAATGTTACAAATTCAGGCGGAATAGTTTCGTAACGGGACCGTAAAATTTGATGTTGATCCGCTCCCTCACACAAACATAATTTGTGTAAAAGGAATTAAAGAGAAAAAGTAACAGCCAAAAGGGCCAGAGCTATTTGTTTGCCGAAAGGTTAAACAAAGAGGAGTCAACCAAAAGGATCCAACACCATCTCTTAGAGAGAGAGAGAGAGAGAGAGAGAGAGAGAGAGGAAAAAAAGATGTCGGACGAGGAGCATCACTTCGAATCTAAGGCGGACGCCGGCGCATCCAAGACCTACCCTCAGCAAGCTGGAACCATCCGCAAGAACGGTCACATTGTCATCAAGGGCAGGCCCTGCAAGGTTCCGATTTTGTTCATTTTCCTATCTTCTTGTAGGATTCGATTTGAAGATATGATTTTTCGGGGGATTTGCTTGTGTTTCTGTACTGGGCTTGTCTCGATTTCAGCAGATCTTGATTGGGTTCTCGCTTCCGTAATCTGGGCTTTACCTGGAAATTTTGTTTATTCGATTCTCTTTTAGGTTAATTATCGTTGTTTTTAAGGATTTTTCTTTGTTTATTCATTTGTTTGTCTACCCTGAGCCATCTCATTAGGTTGATTTGAAGAACTATTTTAACTAATTAGTCATGGTTTACTCGTACAAGGATGGCAGACTGCAGTGTAGAGTCTTTAGACTGTAGCGTTTTAGTTCTGCTTATTGTTTATTTACTCGTACAAGGTTGATTTGCACACTTCTTGCTTAATGGTACTATGAGAAAATGATTATTTTTTGCTGCTTAAATTTGTTTCTCGGTCACACTGTCTTAGCTTCAGTGAACAACCTTGTGAGTAGTGACCATAATTTTATCATAATATGCACAGCTGATTCTTATTTTAGAGTGTAACAAGATTCATTCATGTTGCTATCTAATTCTGTACTTGAATGGTCAATTGACTGTGTAACGATTCATTCGACTTGTTTGCAGTTATATCTTTTCACCTTCTTAGATTGATCGAGTTCTTTCAATTGCTCGAGCTCCATTTGATACTGTAATGGTTTATCGTGTTCTCTGTTTGGTTGGGGAGTATCAAATAAAAGGCTTCTAGACAGCACACGCCTTTCCAAATACTTCTGAAATAGTATTATTTATCCATGAATACCTTGATTCTGATGTACCAACTTATTCCTTCGTACTTGCATAGGTTGTCGAAGTCTCCACCTCGAAAACCGGAAAGCATGGGCATGCGAAGTGTCACTTTGTGGCTATCGACATATTCAATGGAAAGAAGCTTGAAGATATTGTTCCATCGTCCCACAACTGTGATGTAATTTGGCTATTAAATTATTTTCTTCTCTCTGTAACTTTTTTTTTTGTTGTCTCTGAGTTTCTTTTAAAGGCAGCACTGTATTTTTGTAAAATTGCTAAAATCATTTGATGTGGTCTTTTCAGGTGCCTCACGTGAACCGTACTGATTATCAGCTTATTGACATCTCCGAAGATGGTTTTGTAAGTTATTCATATTGATGGATGTGTAAAAACAAGATTTACTTCATTATTCAACATTTATTTTAAAAGATATGAATAACATCAGCATTTTAACTTTGCTTTTGCATAGCAGGAGCTTAGTGTGGCAATTGAATATTCACTAATATTCCAGTTAAAAAATTAGCTAAGGTCAATATAAATTTCCAGTTAAACCTTGTGTATAGTATTTTGTTTTATTGATACACTGAAAATTTGTATGAGTGGAATTACTAGGAAATAAAGTTCATCTTTATCACCAGTTTCAATTCACTATAGAAGCTGGGTGATTAATTACTTTATATATTTTAGTTCGTTATCTTTTCATTCGGAAATCTTGAGCAGTTATAAGGCTTGTGTGTCGTAGGTCTCTCTTCTGACTGAAAACGGTAACACCAAAGACGATCTGAGGCTTCCTACTGATGAGAATCTGCTTGGTCAGGTGAGCAAAGATTTGAATAGAAAATTGTTGTGTTTGAAATCATTCTGATTTTCCCTGTTTGCCCTCACTTCTTCGGTAGAGTAATTGATATATTAAAACAGAATATGTGATTTGATCAAAGTCAATACAGAATGTTGAGTGATTAAACTGTAAAATTGCATTATCTACTTGTAAAAATTCAAACATCATTTAGAATCATTAAAACAAATCACCATTTCCCCTCGTGAAATTCCAACCGTACGAAACAAGTATAAAAAGTACAAGCTGACATTTGAAAACACTATACTGTAATTGTTATTGCTAGTATTAGGCACTTTGCAGTGTTCGGAAGTAACTGTTTTTCGTTCGATTTTCGTGCAGATTAAAAGTGGGTTCGAGGAAGGAAAGGACCTTGTGGTGTCTGTTATGTCGGCAATGGGAGAAGAGCAGATCTGTGCCCTGAAGGACATTGGTCCTAAGAACTAGTAACTATATGAATGTCATTTGTCATCATAATAACTACCGAACCAGACCGAGACTTCTTATTACGGTTCTTTGTTCCAAAGTCTATCCTCAAATTATTTTCTTTTTGTCTGGTTTTCTGGTGATTAAAGTTACAAAAAATGTCGCTACTCCCTTCGGAGATTAGACCTAATACGCGTCAAAACTCGGTTTTTATACAACAGACCTATGATTTGTGCTGTGTGTGTGTCAGTCTGGATTTTTTTTAACTTTATTTTTTCCTAGTGATGATTGTTGATTGCTGTTTTTAGAAGTGTATATCAGCATATATTTGCTTCAGATATGTACTGCATAAGACATAAACTGAACTTTCATCTGGAATAAAATGTTATACATGCAGTGCATTCAATTGTTGCCAGTAATTCTCACATTCAGCTCACCTATTCAATAAAATATATAAAACTCCATAGCTTTTGCCAACTTAAACCATTAGAAACCCTAAAGATTTCAGTCTACACAATCACGACGAAGTTGAAGTCTTATTGCCCTTTGGATAATTACCATACACATATGAACCGAAACCCCAAAACGTGATCACCAACGACAATATCTTGAAACCGCTCATCGGGTCCTTCAATATGGCCACGGCCGCAACACTCGTGAGCGGCACACGTATCGAATTCAACACTCCCGCCAGCACAGTCGATGCCAAGAAAAGCACACCCGTCCCGCCCAAAACCCCCAATTGAAAACTCAATGCACCCCACACCAGAACCGATACGTACGACCTCTCCCCGCCGCGGAAAACCCGAGCCTCCCGACCCATCCCCGCGAAATCGTTGTTCGCCACTACCCCGACCGACGTGAAAACGAACCCAAAAAATGAGACCGCCGCCTGCTGCTCGAGCACGACGTGGAACGATCTCCGCCCGAGAAGCTTGACGAAAACGAGCTCCGAGAGCGCGAATATGAGGCCGTGCAGGGCCGAGCCCGCCACATTCCACACGAATCCCATCGCGTATTGAGCTTTGGTCACGCCGCCGTACGTGTCGGAATCGGAGTCGAGGGCGATTATGGCCATGGCGGCCGTGATTAGGACAACGGCATTTATAACCGAGGCGGTGATTTTGTTACCGACGAGAAGGTACCCGAAAAATGCCGAGAAAATCAGGGAAGTCGAACCGAGTAAAGAAGCGGTTGAGGCGGGTAAGTAAGCGTACCCATAAGCGTACATGAGGTTATCAGCAGCTGAAAGGAAGCCAAGTGCAATATAGGAAATGACGAGCATTAGGGTTGGACGAGTCGGAGAGACTTTGAGGAGAATGTAGGTGGGGATTAAGGCGAGGGCCGGGATGGGCCACGCGGCCACGGCAACCCACGAGATTATCCACTTGCTCGTCCCACCGTTAGAGAAGTAAACGCGGGATAAGAGAGAGGAGGCAGGGAAAGCAACTAGTATTCCCAAGCTGCTAAGTGTCAGGAGGATCCAGTGGGATATGGGCTTGGCTTGGAGCGCGGCTCGAGCCGAGGCCAACAGGGCACCGCATTTTTCTCGGAGGGACTTCGGAGGGGGATCTTCGAGTTCTTGGCTCGAAAATGATTGCGAATGACCAAAAAACACAAAGAAGTAAAGCATCAGTAACATGTGGATGGCTGTATCATGAACATACATACACTGGTCTAACTCCTAATCTTTACATATGCATCTTCACAGGTTTTAACTCTACGAAATCGAAAGATCAAGAATTTCGAGAACCGGTGAATGTTCATGATAACAGTAGCCCACAGAACAACCAAGAAAACATGAAATTTTGGGCAGACTTTCAGAGAGATCACAATTATAGGACGAGATAAGATAACCACACACCTAAAGATCAATTTTTTTTTTTCAATTGCTGCCAAAGTGTGTGATACAAACAGAAACACCCCAAATTTCGCAAAACTACAGAAAACAGAAAGCAACCCACTTCTCAAAATCAGATTTTTATTACCAAAATCGACATCATGAAATCTCCCAACTCATACGTACGATAAAAATTACTTCGAACCAAAAGAAACCCAAATTGAAGATGAAGATAAAGCGGATTTGTAAGAGAGTTGGCTTGAGTTTTGAGCTAACCTGGCATCAGCAGCGGCTGTCTCATGAAATTTCTAGACTTTTTTGTCTGAAAAAACCTAGTCTGAAAACAGAGCACACTCCAAGAATCAGCTCAAGAAATTATCGCTGATAACTGATAAGCAAAGGCGCGTGCTTTTTCAATGGTTTCACACATATAACCCCCAAAAGGACACTTTTTATATTTAACTGATCAATATATGTCATTGGCCTTGTGGGTTTTGTTTGATTTCTTGATATGAGATGAGATGAGATGAGATTTCACTGTGTGTGAGTGAGAATCTCAAGAGGAATTTGGTATGAAAATCGTGGACAAAAAGGAAATGAGCGTGGCGTGGGGTTATAATGGCCAATCAGTGTTTAGCTATTTCTACTTGCAAATAATGCGAAATTCTCAATCAATCAATCAAATCAATAATTTTCAATCACAATCTCATAATAGCTTGTTAAACAAGACGAGTCATTCGTGAGCCCGACTTGTTAAGGCTCGAAGTCAACGAATTTTGATAAATGAATCGAACTTGAATTCATTTAATAAACAAGTCGAGTCGAATTGAGTTGGACTCATGAAGATTTGAAAACAAGAAAATATATGTAATTTTTTTATAAATTGGCTTGTTGAGGCTCGAGTTTGTCTTGCTAAGACTCACTCAATTAAAAAGTCGAGCTCCGCTCGTTAAGACTCGAAAAGAGAATTTTTTTATAGTTCGACTCGATACGGTTTGTTAATATTGATAAAGCTCGGGCTTGATTATTAGCTCACTGATATCCCAAGTTATTGGCACCGTACTCGTAAACTTCATTTTTTTTTCTTGTTCTTTTTTTTTTCTTTTATGAACAAAAGCCTATCATATAGTCTTGTCTAACATTACAATTTGTCAACTCAAAGTTCCACAAGAATTTGGGGAGTCAAGACTAGGCTGCAAACGAAACGAGTCGAGTCGAGCATTATGATTGATTTTTTTTTTTTTAGAACTAGCTCGATTTATGACGCTCGCGATCGACTCGACAAAAGAAGACAATTGTTAGAGCTCGACTTGAGATCGACTGAAATCAAAGTGCTCGACTTCGATTCGAGTTCAACTCAAATTTCATGTAAAATTATCATTAAGTACATATATATAAAATATTGTAATATTTATATATAAGAGATATTTTAGTAATTCAGTACATATCTCGAGCCGCTCGACTTTCCAAAACCTATTATCTAGATCGACGCGATAACATTTTCGAGCCACTCAAGCGCTTGTGAATCGATGCGCTTGCAGTCCTAGTCCAGACATATCCATAGTTAGTTTCGTGACAATCGAATATAGATCACAATAGTATTTGATCTACGAGACAGTACAACATCTTTATGAGTTTATTGAACTGTTTATCGAATAATAAAGAATCACTTTTCATGTTGGGTTTTATTCTTAAGAATAGTCAGTGATTCTAATGATTGTTATGTATTTGTCCTTTGGTATGAAATGTCATTTTATGTTGAAATTTACGTTTTTAATTATTCGTTGTTTTAGACTATTTTTTCAATAATATCCATATAAAATAATTAAAAAATTAAAACAAAAATTTTATAATTTTAATTTACCTTGAATATTTTATTCTCTTCAAATTGTTAGAAAAGAGATGCCTAATATATATGATTAATGGAGATTTATTAATAAAAAAATGTATTTAGAAAATTCATAAATTGCTAATAATTCTGTATTTATCGCTCTCTTCAAATTATTATGAAAGGTATACCTAAATAAGTAATGTTCTCCTACCCACGGTGGACACATGTTAATATATTCATCGTTTATGTGGCATGCACACATTGGTGATGTATTTTTTGTATATATTAACATCACCAACCAGAAATTCCCCCATACCGCGGAAAAGATCCCGAGGTATGTGCATGCCACATAAGCGGTTGACATATTAACATGTGCCCACCGTGAGTAGATGAGCATTATCGATACCTAAATATATAATGCATTTTGATTTAAGTAAGAGCATATATGGCAATGATATGAATTATTATTAATTTCTATATTTTTCACCACACGAACACTAAACTTTGAAACATATGTAGCAATAATTTTCTACATACATGGCAATGAAATTATAAGACCAAAATGGAAATATTTATTTCAGATACATGCATGAAAGATTCAAATGTTTTGATGAGTTTTAATTATATTCGAGGAGTTGGTAGACAACTTTTGACTTGGTGCATAACGTACACGACTTGGTAATTGACTTAAAAATGCAACATAAACTTCATGATCTTTCATAATTTGCAATACATCTTGATCATATAATCATCCACAAAATGAGTAATCTATAGTATTTTCACCGTAAAATGCAACTTAAACTTTATGAGCATACATCTTGACCATGCACGTGTTCATTTTTGCAACTTAAACTTTATGAGCATACATCTTGACCATGCACGTGTTCATTTTTTTGTGGATAATCGTATAGTAAAATATAGGCAATTGTTGCAATTATAAATGTTCATAAAATTCTATGTTGTATTTTATCACAAAAATCAAAAAACATATAGTACATATTGCAGCCAATGTTTTATTTTATTTATTTATTTGTCTTTACAAATAGAGTATAAATGTTGAATTTGAGAACCAAGCCAATGATATGAACATTGAGTAAATTTACTATTAAAAAAATAAAAAATAAAAAGCATAAACATTAGGAAGGTGACCTAATTGTCATCTTCTTCACAACAACCAAGCAAATGCTTATTGGTTCTTCTCCAAATTCACTCTCTATATAAACCACAACACCCAAACTCCATGAATCACTCAACAAAAACAAACAAATAGTTCACACTCAAACCAAAGAAAAACAACTTCTCTTTTGTAACTTACACCTCAAACAATGGCATTTTACAACCACACTTCACTTTTCTTGCTCTTGTTCATTACATTGTCTTCAATAGCCGGCAACACAAATCGAGCCGAGGCGCGCCACCTCCTCGAGGTACCCAAACCCGAGCTTCCAAGTTTTCCAAAACCCGAAATTCCCACATTGCCAAAACCCGAATTACCGACATTACCAATACCCGAGTTGCCAAAACCCGAGATTCCCACATTGCCAAAACCCGAATTACCGACATTACCAAAGCCCGAGTTGCCAAAACCCGAGATTCCCACATTGCCAAAACCCGAATTACCGACATTACCAAAGCCCGAGTTGCCAAAACCTGAGATTCCCACATTGCCAAAACCCGAATTACCGACATTACCAAAGCCTGAGTTGCCAAAACCCGAGATTCCCACATTGCCAAAGCCTGAACAACCACAACCGAAACTGGCAAAAGATGAACTTCCGCAATTGCCAAAACCTGAGGTTCCCACATTGCCAAAACCTGAATTACCGACATTACCAAAACCCGAGTTGCCAAAACCCGAATTACCCACAATACCAAAGCCCGAGTTGCCAAAACCCGAGATTCCCACATTGCCAAAACCCGAATTACCGACATTACCAAAGCCCGAGTTGCCAAAACCTGAATTACCGATATTACCTAAGCCCGAGTTGCCGAAACCTGAATTACCGACATTACCTAAGCCTGAGTTGCCAAAACCCGAGATTCCCACATTGCCAAAGCCTGAACAACCGCAACCAAAACTGGCAAAAGATGAACTTCCACAACTGCCAAACCCCGAGCTTCCATCATTACCAAAACCAGAATTACCAACATTGCCAAAGCCCGAAATCCCAAAATTGCCCAATCCCGAGCTTCCAACACTGCCAAAACATGAATTGCCATCACTACCAAAACCGGAGATACCAACTTTCCCGAAGCCAGAATTTCCCAAATTGCCTGAACTCCCAAAGTTCCCAGGATTACCTGAGCCCACTTTACCGGAAGGACCAAAAACTCCTTAATTCATCATACGAACGAGTTGCCATGAATCACACACATAGCGAAAGTATTAAACAGAGCCAGAGATGATTTCCATCATACCATGTACTTTGAATGATCAACTCATGCAGTTGTCATTGTTTTAATTTTTTTGTGTGTATTCATGATGTATTGTATCCTACAAGTTCATACTTCACTGTTGTTAAAGTTTGTAATTTTCTATTACTGTTACCGAATCAATATTTCCTGATTGTTTTATGCCTAAATCATTGTGTTATTGTGAAAATTAGCTCCATTTCAAGTCCTTTACCCCATGTTCTATTAACATTATTTCAAAATTTTCAAGCAAGATAACATCTTGGACACCAATCAATAGCATTTGGGCCAAATAGCATAAGGAGAACGACACAGGATTAAAATTGGATGCAGACAGTAAAAATAAACAACGTGAAGATTTAGCCATAGTATCTCTAAGATATATAAATAAAAAATTACAAGTACATTTAAAGAATAATGATATAGTTTAGTCAGTTGCACTTACAATTTACAACATACTTAAATTCCCTACTCCTAAGGGCAGCAGGGTATTAAACGCCAACTTATACACACGAACCTGGATAAATGGAAAGCTTTGTGCTCGTTTCTTGACAAATGTCTTCACAGTACCAAGATTCTCTTGATCTTGTAAGTGCAGACATGGAGCTTTGTCTTACAAACCAGACATTCTCAACACACTGTCAGCCAGAAGCAAAGATTTTCAAGAGCTGCTAAAATCATTTCACCCAACCGGCAATAATAAGATCTGCAAATGCAATAATACAGATTTTTCAAAAAACAGACTTTTCAAATATAAAACCTATGACTTTGTATTTCATTATTTATCAATAAACACCATAAATCAATCGACCGAATTACCTGCTATTAGAAAAAAAAAGGACAAGAAGTGGGAAAATAAATGACTACTCAAACGGCCATTTCAGCTTCCCTAACATCCGTAGGTATTCCCACATCCAACCTCATAGTCGGCTTGTAGTTCTCCGGCACACGAGCCCCAGCCTGCACGCACAATTCAACAACTGCAGGAGCCTGTCCGTAGAAATTTTTTAGCTCCCTTTCCAAAGGCTTATTAACATCAGGCATATGCCACACGTACTTTGGCGGAATCAAGTCATCAAGAACCGCAGTTTGCCACCCGTGCTGCCCGTTACGCTGCTGGTGCTTGTGGGCCCCGCAGTTCTGGGCCTTGTGCCCAGTTGGGCCCACATGAATTTCCGGGCAGTACCCACAGGCCCGAACCGGATACATCTTCATCAGCCTTTTGGCCCCTGCTCTCATTTCTTCCCAAACTTTTAGTGTTTCCTCGGCAAGCAATGCAGTTTCTTCCTCGCCAGCTGGCGGCACAATTTCGGATGAATCTGGTATTTCGACGAGTATTTCGGGCTTCGGGCCTTCCGGTTCCGGGTCGGGAAGCTCGCTCTCGTCAGCATCGACAAACTCCTTCTTCCCGATGCGTATGATCGGTTTTCTTCTTCTCTTGGTCGGGTACTCGGGCAGGTCAACCCCTGCCTGAATGCATAGCTCGACAAGAGCCGGGATTCTCGGGACGGAGAATCTCTCCCCGTGGGTGATGCGATTTCCGAGACGATCGTACAGGTGGAAGGCCTCGACCGGAACCAGCAAATCCTCGATAACTGCCTCGCCCCACTCGTGCAAACCCTTGCGGATTGAAGCTTGTGAGCCCTTGCATGATTTGAAAGGGTGCCCGAACGAGCCCACATGGATTTCGCTGCACCACCTGCAAACAAAATATCATCAAGCTTATTAGAAACAGATTGATTTTATAACTTTTGTTGGGCATAACTGAGATTGCCCGGGATGGTGACCTACTTGCACGCTTTTACAGGCATCACTTTCAGGAGCTTTTTAAGATTGTTGATAAGTGTGATTCTTGCATTCAGCACCCTATACGCAACAGGAATTAGTCTTCCAACCACTAGGCCTTTTTTGGGAGGAGGCACGGGACTTCTTGGTTGGTTCTTTCTATTTTTCAGCCTCTCTCTGGCAGCTCGGCGTAACTCGACAATGGGTACAGGAAATGGTTTTTTCTCCCGTTTAGAGTAGTAACGAGGAAAATCTGCATTTTGAGGGTGATCGCATTTGATGACCAGTGATTGGACACGAGTGGATTTGCGCAACGGAAGTTTGATGTTCGGTTGGCCACAGAATCTACTGCAACTACTCTGCAAGCGAAGGACCAACCTGAGAATGCTATGGCTATACACACACACACACACAGAGTAATTTTTATACATACAGACAAGCATATGAGTCGTATATTATCACTTTTATCAGTCATATATGAAATCAGCTAGCTAAGATGCTATTTGAATATATGAAGTATAAACTAGAACACAGATGTAAAGGCATCCAAAATGATTTAGAAAAACTAAAACCATGAGCACTAATGGGATAGAAATCGCAAAGCAGCTAGCTTAATCAAATAACAAAGAGCACCTCAGAGATTATGGAGAGATAATTTTTTTGACAAACTACAAGTTTCAATTCTCCAGAGATGCATAAATAATTATATGAAAGCATAAAGGGCAAAAGAAATACCTTCAAAGAATTGAGTGAGCTAAGACATTGCCACGTGCCACATTTTAGAACATCAAACTTCGGACTTGCCATCCCTTTACCACGCAATAATGCAGTTCTGCTGAACTGAGGATTGATACACACGCTATCCATGCTGAAATTAAAAGGAAAAGAAAGGAATAAAAGAAAGTTTTTGACCAGTTATTTTACACATTTTTTTTTTAGTGTTTGAGATGCTCACTTGACAAAGTTGTTCATAGATATCAGCCATTAACCACCCCAACATCATGCAAAAGAAAGAACAAAGAATACAAAATGAAAGTTGATATTGTTTAGCTAATACAGAAATTTAAAATGCGTTGAACTTCTAATTTTTTCTCATTAACATTTTTGAACACCCTAACAAGCAGAAATGCAACCAAAACAGCATAACTGAAATTCCATTGTCATGAATCAATATAATTACATAAAACAATTAAAGTGATAGTAAAAGCACATATGACATTGAACAGATAATAGGACTGGAAGATAGATCGAAAAATGTGTAAAACATAATGTAACAGCTTAAGTTAAAAAACTGAATATGCAAAACCATTTAGAAGAACTCCCAATGTTGAGACAAGAGTTGTAGAATGTGAAACTGATGAATCGATCACATGGTGCAAAAAACGAAACACGCTAAGTCGAGGTTTCCCTCTCCATTTATATTCAGCTCGATTCGATCTTAATACATCCACAAACTAATTAGAATAGTTTATTTTCCCAAAATTTATGTACCCCAGACCATCCCACCACAAAGTAACAGGGGAAAAAGAAAAAGATAATGCTCTTGATGCCGAATTAATACGAGCCCAGAAAGCTTATCCATTCATAAGCTGAAAATTCTTCAGTGCAGGCTCAAAAAGACTCCAACAAACATCATTTGACCTGAAGAAAACTAAAATTCGACCTGAATTGTAAAAGGGCCGTGTGCTTTATTAAAGATAAAGCCATATTTTTAACACACTCGCTTCCAACAATTCATGAAATTCGAACTGATAATTATTCACTTGGCGAAAATTCAGAATTCACACGAAAAAAATTCAATCTTCAGAAGAACCCAGTTCAGTTCTTCCATATCGGTGCTAATTAACCCTCAGTAAATCAGCTCAAAATAAGATTTTTAAACAAATTTCAGGGCTTGCTTCGATTTGGGGGTCTAAAACAAATGGCCAACAAAGAACAATCTTGTTATTGGCAATAGATAAATGAGAAACTCACCATAAAAAATGAGCGGCGTCGAACTCAGAATTTGAAAGGTAGAAGAGTTGAGGTATGACTTGTGTGAGTTGTGAGCTTCGTATGGAATTTAGGATGAGATGGCTCCTGAACCATTGGACCTTAAAATTAACTAAAAAAAAAATAAAATAAAAAAATAAGTTTTAAATTGAGAATAACTTAAAAAAATATTTAAAATTATATAATATTTAAATTGAGCAAAATTACATATAAATGTATATTTAAAATTTGTACACAACTCGTGTGGTGCACATAATTGATAATTAATTACATTATAATTGTTTCAAAATAAGTGTTATTTAAAAATTTTTATTCAGAAATTCGATTTAACTATAATTTGATTCCATAAATAGTTACTTTGATAAAACTTTATCATATTCTTAACGACTTATGTGTATAAATAAGTATAAATATAAAGTTTATATTGTTTCATTACTTAAAATAATTTTATTTTTGTATAAAGTATTCAAATAAAAAAAATAAATAATTGAGTAATTTATTAAATTATAAATAATTGACTATTTCGTTTAAAGTTAATATTGACCCGTAAGTCATTGAGTAATTTATTAAACTATAAATAATTGACTATTTTGTTTACGCCCAACTTACTATTGACCCGTAAGTTATGAATAATTATTATTTTTTATTTATAATTTTAAATAAAAATATTTTTATTTTTATTTTTCAATATATTATATACGAAATTTCAACCATGCTACTAATAAATGTAATAGCTGAAAGTTTTGTCAATATATTATATTACAACTTTAAACCATACAACTAATAAAGGTAATACCCAGAATATTTGACCAAAATGATTGTGTACATTAATTACATCAATTTAGGCAGGTTTTTTTTTTCAAATTTTTGCCAAAAATATTACTCAATATAGTAAATACTTTAGGCGGACAATCAAATATTTTTTTTTTTTTTTTGCTGATTTTTAGTTGTATTTCAAGTAAATATCATTGTCTCTTTATATATTAATAGATGTTAATTCCCATCCCCCTATATATTAATACAGAACGCTCTTAGCCTACGTGGCTTCTTCTGGTGCTTCGGAATCCTATGTGGCAAAATTACATGCTTCGTCTTGGGTAAATTTTAATTTAATTCCAAACCAAAAATAATTAGGTTCGGATTACCATAAATATGTTGATTATATATGGTCATATTACATGTATTAATTGTATTTTAATATCATTACTTATTATAACTATTGAATTGTATATATATTTTAAAAGTTAATAACTTTTGTATTTTTTATCAGTTTTACATATGTAATATATCAAATTAATCTTCTTTTGATGAGCTTCGATTTAACATCCATATTATATGTATAAAAAAATAATTTATATTTATCTTTATAGCAATAATAAAATTATTTTTAATATTAATTAGAAAAATAAAATTATTCTAATATATTTATATTTCAAGTAATTATATGATATACGTTATAAAAACTAATATAATATAACACATGTAAGTCATAAGTAACACATATCATTCTAAAATATATAGTAATATACTTTTTTGTATAAAAAGTAAACTAAATTTAATATAATTTTCTCATTAATTTTAAAATTTAAGAATAATTTTTTAACAAGCACCCGTGTAATACACGGGTGTTGTACTAGTAGTATAGTATTTCTCTTCTATAAATAAGTCTATGTATTCATCTCTACTTGATATGTTTGAATTAATAAGAAAATCATCCTAACTCTCGTGCGTTAGAATTCTTTAGAGTTTTATTACAACTGTAGAATTCTTTAGAGTTTTATCACAATCATTGCTTATAAGGAATACTCTTAGCGCGACCTTCAAAGCAACCTATCACAGAGAATCAAAGCGGTTGGCGCGAGTTCGAAGCATGTTATTAAGATACATGATTTTCATCATTGGTGTCGTGCTTCCGTTGAGAGCTTGACCAATGATGAAGATCGTGTATTCTGACTCTTTCGTTTAAAAACACATGAAATATATTATATATAAATATATTTCTACAATATAAAATATATTACATTTAAACACATAAATGTATATTTATAGATATATATTTAAAATACATTTATATCATGACTAAAGTCTTATAGTCTAAACAATATATTATATTATATATAATTATTATTAATATATGAGATATTCAATACACTACAAAAAATAGAGTTGTAGTGAAGAATTTTTTTTTCACTATATCTACGATTGTTGTCACTATGTTGTCACTATATCTACTGTCAGTATATCTACAGTTGTTGTCACTATATCTACAATTATTGCCACTATATCTACAATTGTTGTAGATATAGTGACAATAATTGTAGATATAGCGACAGTAGATATAGTGACAACAAAATTCTTCACTGAAACTCTATTTTCTTGTAGTGATAATTTCAAATCGAATGTGGAAATTTGGATCCAAATTTTTATTATTAATGGTCATAACTATGAAAATGAGACTAAAAATTTATAGAAATAAATAATAAGATAAATTACAATCCAAAACACTATATAAACACAAAAACATAAAATAAATTAGTTAATTTTAGAATAACAATCAAATAAATAATAGTAATAGGAAAAGACGCAATAATACTAAGGAGTTAATTGTTGGTTCCGTTAATTGTTGGCTCCTTAGACGATGCTGATAATTTGTTCCAATGACGGCAATGACCAAACAACAATAATAACATGGCAATTCATTAATTCCTTATGCATTTTCTATATAAAAAGATCACCATAATAAAACTCACAAATAAAATGGAAACTAAAATCCTCTCCAAAACAAAATTCCACTTAATTCAAACCATTAAAATTAAAAATATCCATGACCAACAATAATAATAATCTATTAATAATAATAATAATAATAGTCTCACAAGCCACTAAATTTTGGACATAATAATAATAATATCGTAACTTTCCAATTTCCTAAACGACGGCCAAGACACCAACCGCAGCGGCCGCCAGCCCTACCAAGAACACGGCCCTCAGCCCATCGCCGCCGCTCTTCCTGGGTGCAGGCGCCGGAGCGTTGTGGTCCTCCGCCGGTGAAGGAGCCGGAGAAGGTCCGTGCTTGGCGGAGATAACCCTTATCTCCACCTTCTGGTCCTTTCCGCAGTGGCCGTGTGCCCCACTGATGAAATAAAACGGCCCGGATTTATCCAGCGTAATCCTTGTGTGCCCGTCGTCGTAGGATTCGATGGGATTAGATATGTTGCAGCTCTTGTAGTGTTCTTCGGTCACTCGCAGGACTGAATCCGTTTTGCCGTCGTACCTAAAAACTATAGGGACAAAGAAAAAAAGTTGTGAAAAAAAATAATTAAGCTAATTGATTGAAAAGTCAATAAATATAAATTTGTACTTCATACAAATAAGATAAAAAAAACAATATAATTGGTAATTCATTTATTTGTTTACTATTATTTTATATAATCAAATTTATTACTTTCCTAATAATTAATTTTTCACGTGTCCATACTTTAATTATTTTCTATATATTTGATATTGTGATTATTTTATTTCCATTGTTAAAGATAGCATGTACTATAAAAGGAGAGTATGATAGGTATGTCATAATTATATGAAAACACTACAAAAACCACATTTATTCGCGATAAAAATAGAAAAAATATTGTAAATCAATATATTATTTCCATAATTTCATTATTTCCCTGATTATTTTATTTCTACTCGTAAAAAATATATTTTACAAGTGTAATAAAAATATAAAAAAAATTAGATTAAGCAAAAATATATATTACATATTTTTAAAAAATTATAGAAAATACTTTTCAAGCCAATCAACAAAACTAAATCAAGGCAAAAAAAAAATATATATATATAAAAATACTTTTCCCTAAAAAAAAAATCCAATAAAAAAATGAAAGATAATAATAAAGAGATTCTACGGTCCCTTTACAGATTCATTCCGTCTGGAATTTGTAACCATTAGATCAGCTATCCACGACGATTACATGATGATCTAACGGTTACAATTCCCGACGAAATGGTTCCGTAACGGGACTGTAATATTTTCGGATAAATAAAATTACCAATGGAATCACCGATGTGGAATCTTTTCCTTTCAGCCCATTTGTTGTACTCATCTGGAGAAGAAGGGACTCGCCATGAACTCTTGCTGCCACCCACCACCATATCCTTTGCTTCACAAAAGCTAATCACGAACAAAAACACAACAGCCAAACAGGGCACAAGGGATTTTCTAAAGCAACCCATTTGTACGATGTAGAGAGAGAGAGAGAGCAAAATGGAGTTTTAATACAAGCAAAAAAAATATGGAGGCTTGATTTTGATGGTTTGGTGTGTGCAAAATTGCCAATATATAGAAATCTATGGGACGTGAGAGGCACGTGTTTGCCAAAGAGAATATATATATAAAGTAAGTTATACTTATCTTTTTTTCTAGGAATCAAATATTGAAATTAATTTGGGAAGTCTATAGTTATATTTGGCAAATGTAATTGAAAAAATCGGTTTTGCTACGAAACTAATAGTTGGCTCCACAGTGGAGTCAACCTTCTATATACAACAAGTAAATCTACCATATTATATTAGTGTTATTTGTTGTATATAGAATATGATAAGTTTACATGTTGTATATAGAAGATATATTGGCTTTATTATGGAGCCAACTGTTGGCTTCATAACAAAACCGTCGAAAAAAATTAGTATATAGTTGATTAGTTAGCTGAAGATTATATTTGTTAAGCATATCATAAGATTTATGTATTCAAATAAGTTTGATTTGGTATGACAAGATTTTTTTAAAACTTTAACTTACTCCATAAGCTAGCTGCTTTGGATAGTTTTTTTAAATATTAATTGAGTTTTTTTTTTTCGGTTGATTTATCAGATAATTTTATCAAATACTTTATATAAATTCATTCACGGATTTTTTATACGTACGATGGTGCAGAATAATTGTTATTATTATTATTATTATTATTATTATTATTATTATTATTATGACATTACAGCTTGATGGTGGTCGACTCGTCATATTTTTGCTTACATTAGTTTTTGACATTACATTGGACCTCTTTGTTTTTTAGCTGTTTGCTCTCAAAAGAGCTTTTTCATCAAGTTTAGCTGTTTGACTTTTTAATCAGCTAAAATAAAGTGTTTGGTAAATAAAGGTTAGAAATAGCTTTTTTGGGTCCAACAGCCAATTAAGAAAACGCTGGTTTTAGCAGCGTTTCAGATTTAGCTTTTCATTTAAAGTTTTGATTGCACTTTCTCTCTCCACACAGTTTAAAAA